TTGGTGAGCACGGAGTCTCGCTCTGTCACCCAGGCTGGAGTGCAGTGGCTGGATCTCAGCAAGCTCCGCCTCCCCGGGTTTATGCCATTCTCCCTGCCTCAGCCTCCCAAGTAGCTGGGAGTACAGGTGCCCGCCACCTTGCCTGGCTAGTTTTTTTTTTTCTGAGACGGAGTCTTGCTCTGTCGCCCAGGCTGGGTGCAGTGGCACGATCTCGGCCTCACTGCAAGCTCCGCCTCCCAGGTTCACGCCATTCTCACTGCCTCAGCCTCCGAGTAGCTGGACTACAGGCGCCCACCACCTCGCCCGCTAATGTTTGGTATTTTTAGTAGAGACGGGTTTCACCGTGTAGGCCAGGATGGTCTTGATCTCCATGACCTCGTGATCCGCCGTCTCGGCCTCCAAAGTGCTAGGATTACAGGCGTTGAGCCACCGCGCCCGGCCCGCACTGGGCTAGTTTTTTTGTATTTTTTTTTAGTAGGAGACAGGATTTCACCGCTGTTAGTCCAGGATGGTCTCGATCTCCTGACCTCGTGATCCACCCGTCTCGGCTCCAAAGTGCTGGGATTACAGGCTTGAGCCACCGCGCCCGGCCTTATTATTATTATTTTTTTTATTATACTTTAAGTTCTAGGGTACATGTGCACACGTCGCAGGTTTGTTACATATGTATTACTTTGTGCCATGTTGGTGTGCTGCGCCCATCAACGTCGTCAGCACCCATCAACTCATCATTTAACATCAGGTGTAACTCCCAGATTCATTCGCCTCCCTCGCTCCTCTGTCTGGCTGGAGTGCAGTGCAGTGGTGCAATCTTGGCTCACTGCAAGCTCCGCCTCCTGGGTTCACACCATTCTCCTGCCTTAGGCTCCCGAGTAGCTGGGACTACAGGCGCCCACCACTACACCTGGCTAATTTTTTTTTTTTGTATTTGTCAGTACTGATGGTGTTTCACCATGTTAGCCAGGATGGTCTTGATCTGCTGACCTTGTGATCCGCCTGCCTCAGCCTTCCAAAGTGCTGGGATTACAGGCATGAGCCACCGCGCCTGCCTGATTATTCCTTTTCCTGAGCCATATGAAAGTTAATTGTAGGCTGGACATGGTGGCTCACGCCTACAATTCCAGTGCTTTGGGAGGCCGAGGTGTGTGGATCACCTGAGGTCAGGAATTTAAGACCAGCCTGGCCAACATGGTGAAACTCCATCTCTACTGAAAATCCAAAAATTAGCCAGGCATGGTGGTGGCCGTCTATAGTCCCAGCTACTCAGGAGGCTGAGGGAGGAGGATCCCCTGCACCCAGGAGATGGGGGTTGCAGTGAGCCAATATTGTGCCCCTACACTCCAGCCTGGGCAATAGAGCGCATTGTGTCCCTTCACTGCTAAGTATCTCCGCGATCTTGCCAGAAACTGGACATTTTCTTATGTAACCACAATGCTTATATTACACTAACAAAATTATCAGTGATTCTCTAATACCATATAATAGCAAGTCTACATTTAAATTTTTATAATTGTCCCTACATTATTTTTTTAGTGAATTATAATTCAATCCAGGAACCTGCATTGCATTTAGTTTTTCTGAGTCTCTTTTAATGTACAAAAGCCAACCTCTTTCTTTCCTCATACTGTTTAGCTTTTTAAGGAGGTAAGACTAGTTGTCTTTATAAGATGCTACATTCCGAGGCCGAGTGTGGTGTCTCATGCCTGTAATCCCAGAACTTTGGGAGGCCGAGGTGGGCGGATCACCTGAGGTCGGGAGTTCAATACCAGCCTGACCAACATGGAGAAACCCCATCTCTACTAAAAATACAAAATTAGCTGGGCGTGGTGGCGCATGCCTGTAATCCCAGCTACTCAGGAGGCTGAGGCAGGAGAATCACTTGAACCTGGGAGGTGGAGACAGGAGAATCTCTTGAACCCAGGAGTCGGAGGTTACGGTGAGCCAAGATTGCGTCATTGCACTCCAGCCTGGGCAACAAGAGTGAAACTCGGTCTCAGGAAGAAAAAAAAAAAATCATACTTTCTGGATTCATTTGTTTACTTGTGGTATTTTGCATAGTCTGTCCCTAAAATTTCCTGGAAACTGGTTATTAGATCTAAAGGCTTGATGGGATTGCATAATACAATTTTGGCAAGAGTATTCACACATGATAAAATGCATAAATAAATGTTTACTAAATGAGTCTGGGGCCAGGTGCCTTTGCTCACACCTGTAATCCCAGCACTTTGGGAGGCCGAAGTGGGTGGATCCCCTGAGGTCAGGAGTTCAAGGTCAGCCTGGCCAACGTGACAAAATCCCATCTCTACTAAAAATACAAAAATTAGCCAGGCATGGTGGTGGGTACCTGTAATTCCAAGTATTCATGAGGATAATTGCTTGAACCTGAGAGGCTGAGGTTATAGTGAGCTGAGATTGAGCTGATATCTGTCTCATAAATAAATAAATAAAGATGAATGAATCTTGGACTGGCCCAGATGGACAATCCTTATATTCACGTTTGTAAATTAGGTCTGAGCTGGGGTATGGCAGGGAACAAAAACAGTGTTGACTCAGATTAGAAAACCGTTTCTTTCTCCCTTCAAGGCTAAGACCCATCTTCAGCCTGTTTTTTTTTTTTTTTTTTAAGTCACAAACCAGCCTGTTGCTCAGGCTGGAGCAATGTGGCATGATCTCAGCTCACTGCAACCTCCACCTCCAGGGTTACAGCAGTTCTCCTGCCTCAGCCTCCTGCGTAAACTGGGACCACAGGTGTGCGCCACCATGCCCCCTAATTTTTGTATTTTTAGCAGAGATGGGGTTTCAGCATGTTGGCCAGGCTGGTCTTGAACTCCCGACCTTGAGTGATCCGCCTGCCTCAGCCTCCCAAACTGTTGGGATTATAGGTGTGAGCCATTGCACCTGGCGGCATCTTGAGCCATTTTATCTTTAACCGTTTTCTTTGTCTGTTTGCTTTTTTTCCAGGATCCCAGCTGGCTACTGCTTTGTAGAATTCGCAGATTTGGCCACTGCTGAGAAGTGTTTGCATAAAATTAATGGGAAACCCCTTCCAGGAGCCACACCTGTAAGGACATTTAGATAATGATGATGTTGCCATTATTATTGTCATTGCTTACTACCATCTATTGAATCTCTACTGTATACTTTTTTTATATAATCCTGTAACAACCCTGTACAGTAGGCATTGTTATCTTTATAGGCCCAGGAAACTGAAGCTCAGGGAATTGAAATAACTTGCCCAAGGCAACACAGGTAGTAAATGGCAGAGCCAGGATTCAGACTGAAGATTGGTTGCCTCCCAAATCCATGCCTTTCCATTCTGCATCGCTGCCTCCCATAACAGAAGACTTGAAACTATAGACCTCTTGCCTGATTGAGAAACTAGGATAGGCTGGCAGCAGCAAGGACACATTTCAAGAGAGTTGCATTCTGCTCTTCCCACAGTTACTTAGCTTACAGCTGCACCAGCTGGCACACCTGGGCTCATAGAACCATGGAGCTGGCAGTGCCCTTAGCGGTCATCCGTGCAACCCCCTCATTTTATACAGGAGAAAAAGCTGAGGCTTAGAGAGGGGGAGATGTTTTGGCCAAGGTAATTTATTTCAGTTTTTTTCAAATATTGTTCAACTCTTGAAACACCTTTCTCTGTTTTAGTTTGTTTGTTTTTAAACTTCCAGGCGAAACGTTTTAAACTGAACTATGCCACTTATGGGAAACAACCAGATAACAGGTAGGTACAAAGTCATGTCTAGACAGACATAACATGTGTCACTGTGCCCATCACTGCCATATAGGAGGAGGGGAGCCGGTTTGGCTGCACTTGGTCCCCTCCTGAAGGACAACGCCCTTCTCCCTTCCTCGCTGGTGGACCTTCCTGGTGTGCTTCATGCAAGGCCCTGGCTTTTCTGTATTTGGTCCCTACCCCTGGCTTCCCACCCTGCTACTCCTCACAGTATTGAAGTTTTATTCAATAAGAATTGCCCTGTTAACCAGGTTCAGTGGCTCATACCTGTAATCCCAGCACTTTGGGAGGCCAAAACAGGCTGAGTGCCTGAGCCTAGGAGTTCAAGAATAGCCTGGGCAATGTGGCAAAACCCGGTCTCTACAAGAAAATACAAAAATTAGCTGAGCATGGTGGCATGCACCTGTAGTCCCAGCTACTCAGGAGGCTGAGGCAGGAGGATCACCTGAGCCCAGAGAGGGCTACAATGATCAAGGCTACCATGAGCCGTGATCGTGCCACTGCACTCCAGCCTGGGCAACAGAATGAGAACCTGTCTCAAAAAAGAAACCCAATGAATTGACCTGTTCTAGCAACATAAATTGATTGGAATTTCAGGTTGCCATTTGAAAGCATTAAAACTGTACCAAAAGCTTAAAAAACATTTAGATGCATTAACCCTATAATTCAACTTTTCAGGATTTATTCGTGGATACGTGCAAAGATTAGCCTCAGATGTATTCATTGAAGTATTGCATATAATGACTAAAGTTGGGGAAAACCCAAATAACCTAATAGTAGGGAAGTGATTAAATTATGGTCATTAGTTAGGATGCTGTATATCCACTAACAAGTCATATTGCAGTATACTGACATGTCAAGATGTTGGCAATATGTTGAAAGTGAAAAAAAATACTAGAAACAAAATACGATGGATCGTATTTATGAACATTTTAGAAGAAAAGCCATAAGAAAAGAAGATAAAAGTATACATATCAAAGCATTTATCGTGAGTGCCTTCAAGTGGTTGGGTTATAGCAATTTTGTTTTTCTTTGTGCTTTTGTGTATTCTTTTTTTTTTTTTTGAGATAGAGTCTTGCTCTGTTGCCCAGGCTGGAGTGCAGTGGCGTGACGTCCGCTCACTACAAGCTCCGCTCCGCCTGCCCCGGGTTCATGCCATTCTCCTGCCTCAGCCTCCCAAGTAGCTGGGACCACAGGTGCCCGCCACCACGCCCGGCTAATTTTTTTGTATTTTTAGTAGAGACGGGGTTTCACCATGTTTGCCAGGATGGTCTCGATCTCCTGACTTAGTGATCCACCCATCTCGGCCTCCCAAAGTGCTGGGATTACAGGTGTAAGCCACTGCGCCCGGCCTTTTTTTTTTTTAATTTGAGACGGAGTCTTGCTCTATGGCCCAGGCTGGAGTGCAGTGGCGCTATCTCAGCTCACTGCAAGCTCCGCCTCCCGGGTTCACGCCATTCTCCTGCCTCACCCTCCTGAGTAACTGGGACTACAGGCTCCCACCACCATGCCCGGCTAAATTTTTTGTATTTTTAGTAGAGACGGGGTTTCACCGTGTTAGCCAAGATGGTCTCAATCTCCTGACCTTGTGATCCGCCCGCCTCGGCCTCCCAAAGTGCTGGGATTACAGGCATGAGCCATTGCGCCTGGCCTGTTCTTTTATGTATTTTTTTTTTTTTTCTGAGATGGAGTCTCACTCTGTCGCCCAGGCTGGAGTGCAGTGGCACAATCTTGGCTCACTGCAACCTCTGCCGCCCAGGTTCAAGCAATTCTCCTGCCTCAGCGCCCAGTAACTGGGATTACAGGCGCCTGCCACTGGGAATCCCGAGTAACTGGGATTACAGGCGCCTGCCACTGCGCCCAGCTAATTTTTGTATTTTTACTAGAGACGGGGTTTCACCATCTTGGCCAGGCTGGTTTTGAACTCCTGACCTTGTGATCCACCTGCCTTGGTCTCCCAAAGTGCTGGGATTACAGGCGTGAGCTGCCGCGCGCGGCCTTGTGTATTCTTATTGTATAAGGAATATGTATCATACTTGAAATAAGATAATTGAAATAAGATAATAACAAAGGTCAGCTGGACACGGTGGCTGCACTCACGTAATACTTGAAGTCAGACAAGTTCTGTGGAGTGGGTGAGGGATTTGGGGCAGGGACTATTTCTATAACTCTTCTGCCAGAACTGCTCTAATGAAACAAAGTAGGGCCTGATTCAGTAGACCTATCAAATGTGTTCCTTAAGGGGCCTGGGAGAGGTTTACCTGGAATATGCAACAGAGCTCTTCAGAGCAGGGGTTTTGGTCTTTGCCTCTGAATCTTCTCGTTCTTTCTCCTCAGCCCTGAGTATTCCCTCTTTGTGGGGGACCTGACCCCAGACGTGGATGATGGCATGCTGTATGAATTCTTCGTCAAAGTCTACCCCTCCTGTCGGGGAGGCAAGGTGGTTTTGGACCAGACAGGCGTGTCTAAGTAAGGCCTTACCTGTCACTGATGCTTAACTGTGTTAGTTTCAGCATTTCTCTCCTGAGTGGAGATGTTTTAGAAAGGCCATGCAGCACGGCGGTTAAGACCACAACGCTTTGGAGCCAACTGCCTGGTTCGAATCCCATTTCCAATACTGGTGTGAGAGAGAATGCCAGTATGGTGAGAATTGAGGCTCCATGACCCTTACAGTCCCATCTGTAAAAATGGAACTGTTAATAAATAGCTGCTGGTAGGGTTGATGTAAGGATTAAAGGATATAATATAATAATTCAACATTTGAAATGCTTTATAGGTGTTTGCTGTTTTGGCTTGTTATTGTACTGAGCCTTTCAGTGTAGTTAGAAGTGTGTCCATGGCAGGCGCGGTGCTCAAACCTTAATCCCAGCACTTTGGAGGCCGAGACGGGCGGATCATGAGGTTAGGAGATCGAGACCATCCTGGCTAACACGGTGAAACCCGTCTCTCCTAAAAAAAATACAAAAAACTAGCCGGCGAGGTGGCGGGCGCCTGTAGTCCCAGCTACTGGGGAGGCTGAGGCAGGAGAATGGCATGAACCCGGGAGGGAGGCTGGGTGAGCCGAGATCGTGCCACTGCACTCCAGCCTGGGCGACAGCTGAGACTCTGTCTCAAAAAAAAGAAAAAAAAAAAAAAGTGTTCCACTTCAGGCTGGGCGTGGTGGGTCATGCCTGTAATCCCAACACTTTGAGAGGCTGAGGTGGGGCGGATTGCGTGAGCTTAGGAGTTTGAGACCAGCCCAGGCAACACAGTGAAATGCCGTCTCTTAAAAATTACAAAATTAGCCAGGTATAGTGGTGTGCGCCTGTAGTCCCGCTAGTTGGGAGGCTGAGGTAGGATAATTGCTTGAACCTGAAAGCAGAGGTTACAATGAGCCAAGATTATGTCTCTGCACTCCAGCCTGGGGCGACAGAGCGAGTTTCAGTCTCCATAAAAAAAAAAAAACAAAAAAACGTTGGCTTGGCGCAGTGGCTCACGCCTATAATCCCAGCACTTTGGGAGGCTGAAGTGGATGGATCACCTGGTCAGAAGTTTGAAACCACCTGGCTAACATGGCAAAACCCATCTCTACTAAAAAAATACAAAAGTGGCCGGGCGCGGTGGCTCAAGCCGTAATCCCCCGCACTTGGGAGGCCGAGACAGGTGGATCACGAGGTCAGGAGATCGAGACCCATCCTGGCTAAACATGGGAACCCCGTCTCTACTAAAAATACAAAAAACTAGCTGGGTGAGTTGGCGGGCACCTGTAAGTCCCAGCTACTTGGGAGGCTGAGCAAGAGAATGGCGTAAACCGGGAGCAGACTCTGTCTCAAAAAAAAAAAAAAAAAATACAAAAGTTAGCCGGGCGTGGTGGCACGCGCCTGTAGTCCCAGCTACTTGGGAGGCTAAGGCAGAATTGCTTGAATCCAGGAGGCAGAGGTTGCAGTGAGCTGAGATCACGCAGCTGTGCTCCAGCCTGGGTAACAGCGAGACTCCCTCTCAAAAGAAGAAAAAAATGGAAATAGAAAAACCTCAAGAAAGGCTCATTCTTGATCAGTATGGTAGTTACATGTTCAGGCTTTGACAGTCCAACAGGTGTGGCTTGAATCATGCTTCTGCTATGACTTTGGGCAAGCTGTTAAATCTCCGTGAATTGGTTACCACTTCAGTAAATGTGGATACCACTTTCATGGAATTGTTAAGACAGTTTGATGAGATCACCCTGAGAAAATGCTCAGCACAGGTTGGGCGCGGTGGCTCATGCCTGTAATCCCAACACTTTGGGAGACCAAGGTGGGGAGATCACCTGAGGTCAGGAGTTCAAGACCAGCCTGGCCAACATGGTGAAACCCTGTCTCTACTAAAAATACAAAAATTAGCCACGCATGGTGGTGCATGCCTGTAGTCACAGCTGCTCAGGAGGCTGAAGCAGGAGAAACACTTCAACCTTGGAGGCAGAGGTTGCAGTGAGCTGAGATCATGCCACTGTATTCCATTCGCTATGGAGACATAGCGAGACTCCATCTGGAAAAAAAAAAAAAACAAAAACAGAAGAGCTGGGCATGGTGGCTGACACCTGTAATCCCCGCACTTTGGGAGGCTGAGGCGGGTGGATCACCTGAGGTCAGGAGTTTGAGACCAGCCTGGCCAACATAGTGAAATCCTATCTCTACTTTAAAAGAAATACAGGCCGGGCATGGTGGCTGACGCCTGTAATCCCAGCACTTTAGGAGGCCGAGGCAGGAGGATCACAAGGTCAGAAGATTGAGACCATCCTGGCTAACACGGTGAAACCCCGTCTCTACAAAAAAAATTACAAAAAATCAACTGGGCTTGGTGGCGGGTGCCTGTAGTCCTAGCTACTCGGGAGGCTGAGGCAGGAGAATGGTGTGAACCCAGGAGAAGGAGCTTTCAGTGAGCCCAGATGCGTCACTGCACTCCAGCCTGGGCGATAGAGTGAGACTCCATCTCAAAAAAAAAAAAAAAAATTAGCTGGGCGTGGTGGCAGGTGCCTGTAACCCCAGCTACTAGGGAGGCTGAGGCAGGAGAATTGGTTGAATCCAGGAGGCAGAGGTTGCAGTGAGCCGAGATCACGCTTTTGCACTCCAGCCTGGATGGAGTTTTGAAACATGAGCAAAAAAAAAAAAAAAGAAAATGCTCAGCAGAGTGCTAGGACAATAAATATTTATTAAATGTTAGCTTGCAGTAATTTATCCCGCTGCTAGAATTAGAGCTCAGGAGGGCAGGAACGTTGTCTTTCTGTGACTGCTGCATCCTGTGTCTAGCGCAGTGCCTGGCATACAGGGCAGACTGTAAATATTTGCTGAATTTTCTTCTATTAGCTACTTTCCAGCAGGGTGTCAGGGAAGCTCCTGTTTGGGAATGTTCCCCAGGGGTGAAGGTGTCAAGGAGGATGGTGAACTGAATGTGGGAGTTCCTGTAGATCTTAGAATCGTCTGTACTTGAATCTTGACACTATGTGGACACCCATTGATGGGACTCTCCTTTCTTCCTCTAGTTCAATGGACTCTCTCTCTCTCTCTCCTCAGCCTCTTTTCCTTTCTACATTCCTGCCCACCTTCTTACCTTTACTTCTTTTTCATGTGTCCATTCTTAGACTTTCATCACATTTGTGATTCTAAATTGTTTATTTTTTTCATGCAGGGGTTATGGTTTTGTGAAATTCACAGATGAACTGGAACAGAAGCGAGCCCTGACGGAGTGCCAGGGAGCAGTGGGACTGGGGGCTAAGCCTGTGCGGCTGAGCGTGGCAATCCCTAAAGCGTGAGTCCTGCAGGGAAGGTAGAGAGACTCTAGACTCCCCGCCAGACACTCCTCTTTTGTTTGCTGAGAATCAAGGCATCCATACGCTGGATGGGAGGCTGAAGGGGGATTCAATTCAAGTCACAAGTACTGAATGCCTGCTGTTTGCCGGGCCATGGGTGCTGGAGTTGAACTAGCCCCACTCCTGCAGAAACTTACAGTTGGGGATAGAGTATGATTTGGAAAGGCTGATGCATTCAGACATACTGGTGACAGCATTGGAAAAGCTGTTTGGCTGTCCATACCTGATGTCCTTGCTCTTTGCCCAGTAGTCCCACTGTTGGAAACTTATTCATAGAATTAATAATATTTGAGCAAAGGGAAAAAAATCACTTCCGGTTTTAGCCTTATTTATATTAATGAAACTGTAACCCTGTTGTGAGTGTTCCATGCTGTGGGAATGGATAAGAATTAGTATTCCAGACACTCCGCCAGGTGCAGTGGCTCACGCCTGTAACCCCAGCACTTTGGGAGGCTGAGGTGGGCAGATCACCTGAGGTCAGGAGTTCGAGACCAGCCTGGCCAACATGGCAAAACCTCATCTCTACTAAAAATACAAAAATTAGCCGGGCATGGTGGTGCATGCCTGTAGTCCCAACGATTCAGGAGGCTGAGGCAGGAGAATCGCTTGAACCTGGGTGGCGGAGGTTGCAGTGAGCCAAGATGGCGTCAGTGCACTCTGGCCTGGGCGACAGAGCAAGACTCCGTCTCAAATAAAAAAGAAAAATATTCCAGACACTCTATAGAACATTATATACTTCACTATTATACCTGTCATGCTAGGTAGAAAATCTTTTTCCCTTACAACTCCGAACTTTTCTCTGAGTAGGATTTTTTCTTTGTTTTTTCCCTGAGACAGGGCCTCAAAGTCACCCAGGCTGGAGATCATGGTTCACTGCAGCCTCGACCTCCCCAGGCTCAGGCGATCCTCCCATCTCAGACTTCTGATTAGCTGGTACTACAGGTGCACACCACCATGCTTGGCAAATTTTTGTATTTTTTGTAGAGATAGGGTCTTGCTTTGTTGCCCAGGCTGGTCTCGAATTCCTGGGCTCAAGTAATCTGCCCACCTTGGTCTCCCAAAGTGTTGGGATTACAGGTGTAAGCCACTGTGCCCAGCCAGATCTTTTATCCTTTAGCCAAATTAATATTCTCAACTGGAATGATTTTGCCTCCCAGGGGACATTGACAACATCTGGAGACATTTTTGGTTATCACAACCAAGGATGTACTAATAATGGCACCTAGTGGGTATCGGCCAAGGATGCTGTTAAACATCCTGCAATTCATAGGACAGCCTCCCACCCCTCCATGTCAATAGATCCAGGGCTGAGAAACGCTGAACCAAACTCTACCCTAAGAGTAGTTGAATTAGCTGGGTGTGGTGGCTCACACCTGTAACCCCAGTACTTTGGGAGGCCAAGGTGGGTGGATCATGAGGTCAGGAAATCAAGACCATCCTGGCTAACACAGTGAAACCCCATCTCTACTAAAAATAAAAAAAAATTAGCTGGGTGTGGTGGCAGGCACCTGTAGTCCCAGCTACTCGGGAGGCTGAGGCAGGAGAATGGCGTGAACCCGGGAGGCGGAGTTGCAGTGAGCCGAGATCACGCCACTGTACTCCAGCCTGGGTGACAGAGCAAGACTGTCTCAAAAACTAAAAAAAAGAGAAGTTGAACCAATTTTTTTTTTTTTTTTTTTGAGGTGGAGTCTTGCTCTGTTGCCCAGGCTGGAGTGCAGTGGCATGATCTCGACTCACTTCAGCTTCCACCTCCTGGGTTCAAGCGATTCTCCTGCCTTAACCTCCCGAGTAGCTGGGACTACAAGCGTGTACGACCATGCCCAGCTAATTTTTGTATTTTTAGTAGAGACAGGGTTTCACATGTTGTCCAGGCTGGTCTTGACCTTCTGACCTAAGATGATTTGCCTCCCTCGGCCTCTCAAAGTGCTGGGAATACAGGCGTGAGCCACTGTGTGCAGCCAAATGGCCATGTTTTTAAAAGCAATGATTTAGGGGTTCTTTATGGTTTAACTGTGTTTAATACATTGAAGATCAGGCTTAGTGACTTCCCCCAAAAATGTTATTTGTTGTAAATTACTATATAAAAACATTAAATTAGCTGTGCTTGGTGTGCTTGGTGTGCTCCTGTAGTCCCAGCTGCTCTGGTGGCTGAAGTGGGAGAATTGATTGAACCTAGGAGTTCAAGGCGGAGTTCAAGTGAGCTATGATCACTCCACTGCACTCCAGCCCAGGCAACAGAGTGAGACCCTGTCTCTTAAAAAATAAAATAAAAGGCCAGGTGTGGTGGCTCACGCCTGTAATCCAGCACTTTGGGAGGCTGAGGCGGGCGGATCATGAGGCGGAGAATTGAGACCATCCTGGCTTAACATGGGTGAAACCCCATCTCTACCAAAAATACACACAAAAAAATTAGGCCGGGTGTGGTGGTGGGCTCCTGTAGTCCCAGCTACTCGGAGAGGCTGAGGCAGGAGAATGGCGTGAACCCAGAGGAGGAGCTTGCAGTGAACCGAGATCACTCCACTGCACTCTAGCCTGGGCGACAGAGTGACACTCCCGATCTCAAAAATAAATAAATAAATAAATAAATAATAAAAATAAAAAGAGAGCCGCCGTGGCTCATGCCTGTAATCCCAGCACTTTGGGGGCTGACTTGGGTGGGATCCCTTGAGGCCAGGAGTTCAAGACCAACCCTGACCAACATGATGGAATCCCTCTCTCTACTAAAAGTACGAAAATTAGCTGGGCCTCCCAGGATCAAGCGATTCTCCTGCCTTAGCTTCCACATCTGTCCTCATTTCTTTTCTTTTTTTTTTTGAAAAGTTTTCACTTTTATTGGCGCAGAACTGAGTCCAATGGGCAATAGTCTAGGTCAGTGCAACCTCTGTCTCCACCAGGTCAAGCGATTCTTCGTCCTCCAGCCCTCACAAGTAGCTGGGATTACAGGCTGCGGCCACCAACCCCAGCCTAATTTTTTGTATTTTTAGTAGAGACAATGGGGTTTCACCATGTTGTCCAAGGCCTGGTCTTAAACTTGACCTTCAGGTGATCCCACCTGCCTCCACCCTCCAAAAGTGTTGGGAATTACAGGCATGAGCCCCACCGCGCTCCCAGCCCTTTTTTTTTTTTTTTTTATTTTTTTCTTTTATTTTTTTTATTTTTTATTTTTTTGAGACGCGAGTCCTCGCTCTTGGTCACCCAGGGGCTGGAGTGCAAGTGGCCCGGATCTCAGCTCACTGCAAGCTCAGCCTCCCGGGTTTACCGCCATTCTCCGCCTCAGGCCTCCCGAGTAGTGGGACTAACAGGCGCCCGCCACCTCGTCCCCGGATTAGTTTTTTGTAATTTTTTTAGTAGAGACGGGGTTTCACCCGTGTTTAACCAGGCTCGTCCTCGATCTTCCTGGACCTCGTGATCCCGGCCCGTCTTCGGCTCCCAAAGTTGCCCTGCGGGTTACCAGGCTTTTGAGCCCACCGCTCCCAGGCCCCCTTTTCTTTTTTTTTTTTAAACAGGATATCCTTTTGCCAGTTCTGACAAAATTTGGTAAGAGAGACAAACCTATCCATTAAAACCTCCTGTATTACAAGCATGGTCCTTGGAGCCATACTCTCATATTAGCTGTGGTGACTTTGGACATTACTTAACCTCTCTATTCCTCGCAGTTTCCTCATCTGTTAAAATAGGAATATTGATCACACTTATTGCATATGGTTGTGTTTTTAGGATTAAAAGTGTTAATTGGTGGCCAGGCTCCCAGCAATTTGGGGAGGCTGAGGGAGGATGGATCACGAGGTCAGGAGATCGAGGCCAGCCTGGCTAACATGGTGAAACCCTGTCTCTACTAAAAATACAAAAAATTAGCCAGGCATAGGTGGCACACCCTTAATCCCAGGCTACCTCAGGAGGCTGAGGCAGGAGAATCGCTGAACACGGGAAGCAGAGGTTGCAGTGAGCTGAGATCACGTGACTGCACTCCAGCCTGGGCGACAGAGCAAGACTCTGTCTTCAAAAAAAAAAAAAAAAAAAAAAGTTAATCAGTATGAAGCACTTAAAATAGTCTCTGGCCACATGGGCAGTGTTATAGAAATGTTTGCTTATGTTTATTTTTGTTTCTGTCTTCATTTAAGGAGCCGTGTAAAGCCAGTGGAATATAGTCAGATGTACAGTTACAGCTACAACCAGTATTATCAGCAGTACCAGAACTACTATGCTCAGTGGGGCTATGACCAGAACACAGGCAGCTACAGCTACAGTTACCCCCAGTATGGCTATACCCAGAGCACCATGCAGGTAACCATGATTTGACAAGACTGGTCCCCTTGGGTTGTGTTTCTCCACTAGAAACAGGTGATTCTCTAAGATGGGATTGGTAAGGACAGGACAGGGGCTTGGGCTTCAGAAAAATAGGGAAAGTTGAAGCAGTCCAGTTCCTCTTGTTGAAATAAGCCATTGTGGGTCGGGCACGGTGACTTACACCTGTAATCCTAGTAGCACTTTGAGAGGCCGAGGCAGGTGGATCACCTGAGGTCAGGAGTTCAAAACCAGCCTGGCCAACATGGTGAAACCCTGTCTCTACCAAAAATACAAAAATTAGCTGAGCATAGTGGCAGGCGCCCATAATCCCAGCTACTCAGGAGGCGGAGGCAGGAGAATCACTTGCCACCGGGATGCAGATGTTGCAGTCAGCCAAGATCACACCACTGCACTCCAGTCTGGGTGACAGAGCTAGATTCCACCTCAAAAAAATTAAAATAAAATAAATAAGCCATTGTGGTCCTGGACCAGGATTTCACCATCCCCCTAACCCACATCTCTGGTCTCTTGGCAGACATATGAAGAAGTTGGAGATGATGCATTGGAAGGTAAGGGTTCATGCGTTCCTTACTCTGTCAGCCATTATCAGGTGACTGCTCTGGCTGGCACTGTGCTCCTAGCTAGAGGGAAGACAAGATAAATTCTGCTCTGGAAGAACTTACATTCTGGTTAGAGAGCCAGATGAATATGTAATTATGGTAAGATGTGTCGAGTGTTACCCAGAGGTGTGAGTGTGGATCCCAGAGAGCCTGGGACAGGCAGCTCCAGGAGAGCCCATCACCCCCTTGACATGTGGCATTCTATCCTGGTAGTATGTGGGCCTCTAACGATAATACTGTTACCTTTTTTTTTTTTTTTTTTTGAGATGGAGTTTCGCTCTTGTTGCCCAGGCTGGAGTGCAATGGCGCGATCTCAGCCCACCGCAACCTCCGCCTCCCAGGTTCAAGCGATTCTCCTGCCTCAGCCTCCCGAGTAGCTGGGATTA